CACTGCAATGCATTATTATATTTGAACATGGCTTATAGCTTAGCTCTTTGATCCTAAGGGAGCTTTTGGTGTGGGGTGAGGGTCGGATAGAGCTCTCAGTTACAATGGTAATGATAACCAATACAAAGAAATAAACACTAATTCATTCTTTCTCAAGATCTTAACTTTTGTGTTTCTTAGTATCTTCTAAAATTAAGGATGTGATCCCTTACACTGTATTTCCCTCCTGACAATGAATATCTAAAACTGTAAAGAGATCACAATAGTTTTTCAGGTTACTAGAGATCACCAACTATACGATTAAAAACATAAAAGCATATTTGGTGTTAAAAATTCATGTGGTGTTTGGGGTCTGTGTGTACAATTTAAAGTTGGTAAATCTGTGTACGCTGTGTTGGTCTCAGTAATGGAGTTGCATTCTCCTCAAGGGTACATATTACTTTGCTTGAAACTATTTTTCCCTCTTCTAATTTTGGAGGCAGGGGATCTGTGGAGGGAATATTGAGATTATATTAATCTAATTCTGAACTTTGTTCAAAAATTTTTTCTTATGGTTTTAGTCTCCTTTATTGTTAGTAATTGTATTATGTCTTAAATTGTCCTTTTTTTATTCTTAACAGGGTGATCCCCTTTATGTAAAAGTGAACAAATTGTCATCTACGAAGACACAACTTCCATATGACTATTACTACTTAAACTACTGTAAACCATCCAAGATCGTGAACAATGCTGAAAATTTGGGGGAGGTGCTACGTGGTGATCGCATAGAGAATTCTGTGTACACTGTAAGCATCTGTTACCTTTTATGGTGTTATTTACTTGCAGTTGGTGACAAGTGTTATTTAATGAAAATCTTTATAGATTATATCTACAATGCTTATTTAATTATTTGTAATTTGTTTTGCTTCAGTTTGAAATGAGGGAGAATCAGCCTTGCAAAGTAGCATGTTGAAAAAAACTTTTATTTCATGATTTATCATTTGTTTTGCTTTAGTTTGAAATGAGGGAGAATCAGCCTTGCAAAGTAGTCTGTCGAAAAAAACTTGATGCTGAATCTGCGAGGAATTTCAAAGAAAAAATTGATGATGAGTATCGAGTTAATATGTAAGTAACAAATGTGATGCCTAAGATTCATGTATCCTTGTTCCTTTGTCTTTATGGAGATGTTTTATGTGATTTTTACCTCTATTGCTTTTAATGTTTGTATCCACACCACTCTCCTCTCTTTCCTTTTGCTGCTAATAAGTTTGTGGTGCGTGTTTATATTAAATTATCTTGGACTTGATGCACAGGATTCTTGACAACCTTCCAGTTGCTGTTCTTAGACAAAGGAGAGATGGAAGTCAGTCAACAACGTATGAACATGGTTTCCGTGTTGGGTTCAAAGGGAATTATGCTGGGGTATGCTCTGGGAAGCTAGTATTGTCTTCAAAATTTATCTGCTTTTTTATCTTATCTTAACCATTTATATGCCTTTGCAGAGCAAGGAGGAGAAATATTTTATCAACAACCACTTGAGCTTCAGGGTCATGTTTCACAGGGATGCTGAGACTGATGCTGCTCGAATTGTTGGATTTGAGGTTACTCCATACAGGTCTTCTACGAATTTCTTGACTTTCTTTTTGCTTATTTTGCATTTGTTATGACATTTAGTTGAACTGTGTTCATTAGTCGCATTTATGGATTTGGATAATGAATTAGCCATTAAGCATTGTGACAATGTAATCCTCAATTTCCTTATGTGTCCTTCGAAGAAGGGGGTGGGGAACTCCCTGAGACTGTAACACTCTATTTGGATTGAGGGGAAGGGAAGGAAAGGACAGGAAAATAAAAGAAAGTAATGGAAACAGAGAAACCCTTCCTTTGTTCAAAGAAACTTTTAATTTAAAGGGAAGGAAAAAGGTGGAAACTCAATATCCTTTGATTTCCCTTGTAATCCTTACTTTTTTAATATCCCAATTTGGGAGAAAAGCTAAGGAAAGGAAAGTTAAAAAAATTTTATTTTTATAAAAAGACTATTATGTTCATATTTTTATTATGAGATTAGATTTGATTATGTAACTGACACTTCTTACATAATTTCTTTTTATGAATATTTTATATAACATTATAGTTTATAAATATTTTATGATTTTCCAAGATTTAACAACAAAACAAGCCAAATTATTATTAGAATAAATTAAAAGATTGAATTAAACACAAAATTAAGAGTAAATCAATAACTAGCAAATACATTTTACTATATTAAACATGCTCAATTTTGTTTAGAAAGATTTGTTTATACAAGCTAGGTAGTATAAAGATATATTTGTATATTATATGTTGCTTTATTGAAAAAAAGGTTATAATTGGAAAAAAAATATTATAATGAATTATTTTCTTTACTTTTCACTATTTATCCAAACAATGATTGTTAGAATTTCTTTTCTTTCCTTTATTAATTTTAACTATTCAAACAAGGGGTACTTGTACCCTTTCTTTTCGTTTAAAAAACTTTCATTTCCTTTCTTTTCCCTACCTTTCCTTTATTTATATGTATCCAAATATAGCATAAGTTTTGTGCTTAATATTGCTGGAAACATAATGTTCTTGCTAGATATTTTGGTTGCAGTATCTAAATAGATATACATTAGACTTGGATATTCTAGATTAAGATCACATGAATCGTATCTCAAGGTGTAATAAAATTGTATGACAGATGCCAAACCATGTAATTCTGTGTACTTCTACCCCTATTATTTCTTTTTGTTTCTTAATTTGAAAACTCATCATAATAGTTTTCTGAATACATGTAGTCACAGAAAGTTCTCTACTACTTGAGAGTTTTTTATGTGCTTAAAGATTTATTATTCTTCCATTTCTTCAAAATATAGTTTTCTTCCATTTCTTCAAAATATAGTTAAAATAGCAATTTGTATTGTCCTTTTGAAATATGCTGCGGAAAAAGAGGTACTGAAACTCTGAAATTTGTGTCATGCAACATAAAAAACTAATATTTTTAGGATCAGGGTCATTTTCTGTTGGTTATCAAATGACTGGCTTACTTATGTCATTATTGTTCATTTGTGCCTTTTATAAACAGCATTAATCATGAATACAAGGAATGGGATGAGAAGAATCCCCAGATAACAACATGCAATAAGGACACCAAAAATCTAATACAAGGTAGCACTGTTCCACAAGAAGTTGACATAGGCAAGGAGGTTGTGTTCACATATGATATAACTTTCAAGGTACTTTTGCCTTCCCATTCTCTTTCTTGTCATTGTTCTTTCCACCGTATATCCCAATGCATGGGTTAACTTCTGTTTTCTGCAGGAGAGTGATATCAAATGGGCTTCTCGTTGGGATACATACCTTCTGATGAATGATGATCAGATCCACTGGTTCTCCATCATAAACTCACTGATGATTGTTCTCTTCCTCTCTGGCATGGTAGCCATGATCATGATGAGAACATTGTATAAAGATATTGCAAACTATAATCAGTTGGAAACCCAGGATGAGGCTCAGGAAGAAACAGGATGGAAACTTGTCCATGGAGATGCCTTTAGGGCTCCGATCAATTATGGTTTACTCTGTGTTTATGTTGGTACAGGTGTCCAGATCTTTGCAATGACTCTTGTGACAATGATATTTGCATTGCTGGGCTTCTTATCTCCTTCCAATCGTGGAGGGCTTATGACTGCTATGGTTCTCTTGTGGGTTTTCATGGGAATACTTGCTGGTTACTCTTCAGCGCGTCTATATAAAATGTTCAAGGGTACAGAGTGGAAGAGAAATACTTTGAAAACTGCATTTATGTTTCCGGGTATCCTATTTGCCGTCTTCTTTGTGCTGAATGCATTAATTTGGGGAGAGCAATCTTCTGGTGCAGTGCCGTTTGGGACAATGTTTGCTCTTGTTTGCCTATGGTTTGGTATATCAGTTCCCTTAGTCTTTGTTGGCAGTTACTTGGGTTTCAAAAAGCCAGCCATTGAAGACCCCGTGAAGACCAACAAAATTCCCAGGCAGATACCAGAGCAGGCATGGTATATGAAGCCAGTCTTCTCTATACTCATTGGAGGCATTCTTCCATTTGGGGCTGTTTTTATTGAGCTCTTCTTCATCTTGACATCAATATGGCTGAACCAGTTCTATTACATCTTTGGCTTCCTTTTCTTAGTGTTCATTATTCTAATAGTCACTTGCGCCGAGATAACAATTGTGCTATGCTACTTCCAGTTGTGCGGTGAAGACTACCACTGGTGGTGGAGATCTTACTTGACTGCTGGTTCCTCTGCTCTTTACCTTTTCCTGTACTCAGTTTTCTACTTCTTTACCAAGTTGGAGATCACAAAGCTGGTTTCAGGAATCCTTTACTTTGGGTACATGGTAATTGTTTCATATGCCTTCTTTGTCCTGACAGGGACAATTGGCTTCTATGCTTGCTTCTGGTTTGTTAGGAAGATCTACTCCTCTGTGAAAATTGACTGAGATAGAATGTAGAAGGAGGATCAGACCTCTGTGAATTACAGGCTGGACGAGAGGAAAGCATGATGTGAACTATTTCGGGAAATTCGTATTTCCTATTGTCTCTACAATCCCCCCCCCTTTTTGTTTTTGCTCATTGTAGGTAGGCTTGGGCAGTTACTTTGTCTATACTATTAAAAGTTGTGTACTGTTGTACTCTTCTAAGTAGTTTCTGCAAGGAGTCAAATTCGTGATCTTAAGTCACAACAAAACAATCAGGAATTTGTGAATTCCTTAATGCTTCTTAACTGGCTTTAAGTCTACCCCAATAGTTTCTTGGTTGAGTAGAGCATTGCATCTCAATGACACTGTATTTGTTAGAGAATCCAGTATAGAAATGTCCTATTACAAGAATGGAGTATAAATTGTTAGGTCTTGCAAACCATTACTAGTATTTGCTTTTACACAGGGAATAACCAAGTGCCTGGAGATCATTTTCATTCTCCGTTTCAACTTTTTTATTTTCATTTTCTCAATTATTATGTGAAATGGAGGGCCTTACATGATTGTTTTTCCTTGTTAGTTAATGCTATATGAAAATTTGCTTTGTCCGGTCGAATATATCAATTCTTTCAAGCTGACCTTTGTTCCTTTTTTCCCTGTCGAGAGTCTGCGGCAGTTTTCTCCAGCTAATAACTTCGGTTTCCTGGTTTAGTTTGTCTTTATGAGCATTGCTGTCGCTACAAAACTGCCAAGATTACACTAATTTTTCCAGAGGAAGGCTATTGTCAGGCATGATGGATCAATATTCCATGTTACATGAGTGGCAAATCACAAACTTAGGAGCAAAACTGCTCCGCCATTTGCTCCACTGATCAATAGCTTTTGAAGATGTTACAGTCTAAGTTGGGATCATATCTGATTCACAAGTTGCTTCGTCGTTTTGAATATTCATAACCAGCAGGAGCAGAGACTGCTTATCCTATGCTGCATCGGTGATTGAAGATCAATATTCTGATTTGCTTTAATACAAACTAGAGATCCATAGAAACAAATGTCATAAGATCCTCATACTTTGGAATGTTTAATTCCAACAAATGTAAATTTCTACTTTAACTAACATGTAAACTACCGATACAATACTGAATTCTTAAATTCAAAGAATGGACTCATTTCCTAATTGAACTAAATAAACATAAACATCGATAATATCATAAGATAAGATGTAAATTTATCACCATATTTATGTATAAGTGGTTCAAATTTATAATAAATCTTTCAATTTATATAGTTTTATCCTCGTAAATTTACCATCATACTTCATATTTTGGAGCAATTAAAGATTATTCAGTAAAAAATTTTGTTTGAAACAATTTTTACAATTCAAAAATAATTTAAAAAAATATATGGCAAAAGAAATAATAAAGCTTAATATTGATTTCCCATTTTTCTGCTTGCATAGAGCATCCAAAGGAAAAGATGAATAACAGGTGGTGCCAACAAATCTAGAAACCAGGATAAAATGCTTAACTCTTAGCCAATCATCTAATTAAAAGTGCATGAAATAATTTCTCTTCAATTTTAAATGCAATTATCAACTCTGTTAAATACTAATCTTCTTCATATTCAACAGTAATATTTTCAAGTTTGTTAAAATCTACAATAACACCACCTCTTCTATTCGTAGGCTTCATCTGGAAGCAGATGTTTTAGCAATAGAATAAGCTACTCAAATCTCAACAACTCCTTGACAAGATCAAGTATAGCACAACAAACATCAGGGAAATATAAAGATTTGCAGCGCATGCCCCTGGTAGATCTTGGAAGGTAGTGTTCAATGCTAGCAGAGGGCCAGAATTCAGCCGAACATGGTGAAATAATCAGATTTCTACCATTTTTAGGGTTGAATAGCTTCCATTGGAGAACCTATAAAATAAAAAGCAAGTTATGGCAATTATTTTGATACAAAACCTAAAGAAACATGATGGGTATTGAAGAATACATACTACAAAAAGTGGTGTGGTTCTGGAATACGGCTAGCGAAAAAAATATTGTCATCAGTTTGAGCTTAATCTTGACTTCCCATTTTTCTGCCTGCATAGAGCATCCATATGAAAAGGTGAATAATTGGTGGTGCCAACAAATTTAGAAACCAGGATTTAAAAGATGAGCAACCAACCAAAATGAATCTTTCTTTTCCTGAGCTAATAACTCTTCAAAAGAAATGTCAGCAAATTCAGTATCTGTGCCTTCCATCAGCTCACCAGACTTAGTCTCTAACTCCATGCAAGCACCAATTTCAAGCATCTGAGAGATAGAGAGAGACAGAGATCAGAACCATAATAATATCTCTTCTACTTGCAATAAGAGATCAAAAACAAAGGGAGGAAAAAGATATTTCAGTGATCCTTTTTACTCATTTGCGTGGAGAAGTAATAGCTCTATGGAGAAAAGCAACATTAATTCTGTGTGGATGTTTGCTTTCTTCCATTTTTTTTTTTTGTTGGTTGGGGTAGGGAGGGGGTTTGGAGTTGTTTCCAACTACAGAGAAACAACATTTGGAAGCGCGATATATAACAAATTCCCGACACATTTTAACTTTTTGAACAGAAGTTTAAGTTGGAAAATGTGTGAAGTCTACTGTTGTTGCAAACTGCAATCTAACAGAATTGATGTACAACCCAAAAGGTAATCAATCTTCCAAATTCAACCACATCATAATAGCTGTAAAGTTCTAAGTACTGAAGGGCAATGATAAAAACTTCCATGAAACACAACATGGTGTTCCTACTTCCTAGCTTAACATAACTGTCAAAAGAAGAGCGATGGATACAAACAAGCTTTATTCCCAACAAAGATCTGTTATCCTTACTCAGAAACTAGATTGCCAACAAATTAACAAAATTTACAATAAACAAACTATCAGAATACAGGTCTAAACTGTACCTTCTTATATGCTGGTGATAGTTTAAGTTGCTGTTGGAGCAAATTATAGACAAATGAATCCTCTTCTAATCTCTTCTGTTCCATTTCTAGCTTGTATATCTAAACATGCAAAGCTATCCACTATTAGAGGAGATCAAGATGAATGATAAGAACAAGTTAAAGCCAGATGCTTAAGTTTATCTCATACGGTTGCTCACCTGCTGCCTCAGGCGATCAAATGAAGATCGATCTGCTTTGAATAGTAGAGCCTTTGTTATCGTAAACTTACGTTTGATGACCTCAGACCTGCAGTAAGATCATAGCAAGGAAGTCATCAACCGTGCCAACATTCAAAGGACAGATTAATGGTGAAAAATATGAGGCAAAAAACAAAAGAACCAGTGCCAGTATCAAAATTCAAAAAATTCATGTTTTAAGGAGTGAAGAAAGAAATAGAAAAAATTTTCAATATTATAGCATTTTGGAAATTCCTATAGATAGTACCAGTATAATTTGTCAGTGGGAGATGATAAAATCAGTTTAGAAATTGCATAACAAACAGAGTAGATGTAGTTAAGGACTTGGAAGGGAGAAAAAGTGCAGACAAACTTATCACATAGATCAAAATTAAGCAGCATGTTTTCCAAAAACAATAACAACAAAGCTAAAAGGAAATAACTGAAAAGCGAAACCAAAGATTTAGATTCTTAAAACATGACAATAACTATGAGTTTACTTGTGCTGCAGCTCATTTTTGGCCTCAATCAAGCAATTAGCAAATTCTCCAACCTACATACGAGAGGATAGTATGTTACAATTGTTGCATATTCAAAATATAAAATCCAGAATAAAAAAGAGGCAGGGGAGGATCAAGATATAGCTTATCAATGCAACTGCTAACAAATTTCAAGATAACTTTATAGGGAAATTTGTAATCTTGTTCAGAAATTCAGATATCTAAAGTGTGCAATATGAAGTAAAAGGCATGACTTAAACTAACGCCAGCTTCATGTTTTCTAGTATGAATAGACCAAAAAAAGGCATTAAGAGGAGAGTATAAATTTAATATTTTGCACAATGATGCCATAAAACAATAAGAAGAAAATACTGGATAGTAGTTTAAAACCCCAATTCTTACACCCCTGTAACTGTCAGAGCATAAAAAAATAGGGTTCTTGGAGCATTTACAGGTACTTGAAACTTTAAAATGCAGCATACAATGTTAGATACTAAGCCTAAATTTCTCTGGGGGAAGCTATTTATAATCAATCATTCAGATGTCATATGAAAAGCATGTATCTTTATTTAAGAGTAAATGATTGTCTAAAAGATGAGGTTGGGATGCAAGAAAGATCTCAGCTTGAATCAGGCTTAAACTTGGGAGCCTTGAGTTGATGTCAAGTTATAAGCCTTACCATTCCTTATTAACAATGTTACAACTGAGTCCCACTGTCTGCTCAAAAATGCACCAGACAAATCCAATACAAAATTAAAATAGCTCTATCTTCTCACCTTATGCCAGTTATGTGTTTCAAATCAATTTCCAAGTAACAGAATAATATAATTACTTTCGTATGTAGCTGGAAAGAATTGTATTGAATACCAAAATCTTCTTGTATTTGGCTCCTGAAAGTTGCTAAAGCAATGATATCCATTTGGCCAATAAAATTTCGAGTCCGTCGATGCTTCCAGCACATGGTTTGCAGAAGCAAGTGAAAGCTCTACCTCCCAATAGTCCAAAATCTGCCAGTAAAAACTTGAATCCACAACTTCACCAAAACCCTCAAGTTTCCCTTAATTAAATCCTATAAGACCTTAAAACTAGAATCATACTTTCTATTATTCAACAGGAAAGATGAAAGCTTCGCTACAATTTCCTTGTACTAGCAAGTAGCAACTTTCTAAGAGGACCACATTAGTACCATATGATTATAGCCCCAGCAATATGAGAACATAAGTCATTATGACTTTCCAACTGCTGGCAGAGAAGAAGGCCAGCAAACTAGTTCTTTTTCAGAAATAAACAGATTTAGGCACTCTAACTCGCAATTTAATTAAGAGCATTGTCTCACATTCAGCATTTCTGTAAGTTCATCATAGCAATATTTCATTTCTGTAATATTTATTATTAGTTCCTTAAATAAATTAACAGATAAAAACACCATCAAAAGTAAAAAAATTGAAAGGTGATAATAAGAAGGAAAAAGAAAAAAATAGAACCAACCTGCACCAATGTTAATCCTTTGTTTTCATGACACTTAACAAGCTGATCATATTGTTGCTTGATCTTCCTTTGCGTTGCACTACTCGTTGATGTAAACGGGTACAAGCAAACCAGCTCCGGCTTGCGTTCTCCCGATTCTTCCCTTTTCTTCTTCTTTTCTTCTTCCTGACTAAAACTACACCTTTCTTCCCCATTTGCTTCTTCACCTTTGGAATCCAATCTCTTCTTCTTCCCTCTTTTCTTCTTCTTCTTTGTCCTCTGGTCCTCACCACCTGATTCACACAGTTCCCCTTCTCGACCCGACCCGACTTGACCCGTATCTTCCCTGGATTGGTTTTCACCTGTAAACAAACCAGCCCATTTTGCAGAATCAGAAGGCAAGATCTCTAGAAGAAACGAATAGAGCAAATGGGTCGGGTCGTGTTCCCGGGTTCGGGATTTTTTATCAACAATATCGGAGAGAGACTGGTTCAAAAGGGCCGGTTCATTCTGGGACTTTCCTTCTTGTTGTTGTTGTTGTTTATGGAGTTTTTTATAGTAAAATGAAAAGAATAAGAATAAGAATAAGAAAGAGAGAGCGACAGAGAAGAGAAAGAACAAGAAAAGCATTTGGAGGGATTGGTTAAAGTTATAAACAAACAACAAATAAATGGAAAGTAAAGGAAGAGAATGTTGTTTATAATTTTATGTTAAGATAAAAAGAGAACTAAGAAGAAGAAGATTTGAAGGTTTAGCCGCCATTAAAACGCGTCATCACGACAAAAAAAGAAACAGAGAGATAAATAGTTTGATATTTGGTTACAACGTGGGTTACGTTCCTAGTTCTGCTACAAACAACAATGGCAAAGGCAGTGTCTTTTTTTTTTGTAGATTCTATTCTATTCTAAACGATAATGTTCGGGTTTTGACAGTGTGGGATGATAAATCTGGCAAGCGGTTTTAAAGCCGTTGATCAAGGAAAAATATCAAGTGGTCAAGGAATATGGTCAACGTCAGTGTGTCGGTTTTGGTAGGTGCTAGATCAGGCGATAAGTTTTTTTTTTTTTTTTTTTTTTATCTTTCTGTTATTGGATTCCAACTCAAAATTTTTAATTTTAAAATTGACTTTATTATCATTAATTAACAATTCATTGATTTCATGCTAAATTATTTAAGTAGTTATTAATTAATTTTCAAATATTTAAATTCATTTGGAAAAGATTCAAAGATATGTGTGCAAAAACAACAAAAACTTTAGTTTAATATAAATAAGGGTTAATGTTATACATCATTTTTAAATTATAATAACTATTTAATTTAACACATGAATTTTTAAAATATAAATAAGAGTTAATATCATAAATGATTATTCAATTATAATTTATTGTTTGAATTTTCAAATTTTTAATGTGTATTTAAATCATAAATATATTAATTAATGTGATATTTAAAAAATTATTGTTTTATGATATATTATTATTTAAAATTAATAATGTTAAGAATGAGTATCACTCACATTATCCATATATTATATTATAAATTTTAAAAATTAAATATCATATTAAATATTTTATTATAATTTAACGACCATTCATGATATTAAATCCAAATTTAAAAGAGTATTAGGTTTGTGGTTATGAGGTTGCCCTTAGTTAAGTCTTCTTCACCTTTGCTTTAGCTTATTTAAGTTTTGATACCTTTTGTATGCTTCCACTTTGATGGACCTTCAAGGGCAAACAATGAAAACTTTTTCTAGCAGTCAAGTAGCATGGAATAGCAAATTTGCTTTGAGCCAATGGCTTGATAGGTACCTCATTTCATAGTTTTATATATATTTGAGATTGTACGAAATTAAATTTTTCTTTTAGTTTTTAAAAGAAGTCTAAAGGTTTTTTTTTTTCTTTCAAGTTTAGTGTTGACATGTGAGTATGAGAGTGGATCACTGGACTGGATGCTTAGATCAAATTGATTCACCTAATTTATAAATAAATAAAAAAATGCTTCGCCATGACTAACAAAGCTTTATAGGTCAACAATGGATAATCCTTCACTAAAACCAAGAAAGGAAAATAAAAGGATAGGAGAGCTCCAGGAAATAAAGGAAAAGAGATAGATAGAGGAGAAAGGGAGAGAAGAAGAAAAGGATAGGAGGCTTTTAGCTTTACTTATTACAAGATATGATGGTTTATTTATAATTGAATTAACCTTGGTTAAGTTAAAATACAATTGTAGTTAAAATACAACTCTGGTTGAGTTATGTTTATTGTTTGTTGTAGCTACAGTTACTTCTACAATGTATTGTCTACTGTCTGATTGATAACTGTTGGCATCTGTAATAGCTGACTTGCTTTTACTTTTAGAGTTGTTTGCTCATTGTTGGTGGATGGCTGAACTAGCTTATCTTTATCCTTATTGGGTATTATTTAGATTGGCTAGCTTTTCCTTATTTGGATTGAAAGATTGAGGGGAGTTGGATTTGGATCTATTTCATAAGTTCCATCTTTCTTTGTATTGAACAAAAGATGTTGAGAATGATCAATATCTTCCATTTCTGATAATTTTTTAATTAACTCTAGTGCTTTTGGATCAAATGGAGGAAAATTAACTCCTAAATAGGAATACGTCCTTTGAATAAGGATTCACCTTCCATTTGTCTGTGCTGAAATCCTTGGGTGACTTGGATTTTAAGTTTCATTTAACAAGGATTTTGCATAATTCATCATCTGTATTTTTTATTGAAATTGATATTTATTGGAATTAGAGAATTTTTGTAATGTCTAATTTAATAACTCTTGGTTATCAATGAAGTCTTCAAATTGGGTTTCAATCAGAGGACTAGACATTAATTTTTGAACCTCATCTTTTTTTATGATTTGCATTTTTGAGATTTCATCATCTGTTAGATTATAAGATTCTCCTATGACATCTCTTAAAGTAGTCATCTGTTGTGTTTCAATAGAAGATATTTTAAAAGATATTTCTGATGCTTCAGCTAGGTTAGATGAAGTATTTATCATAAAAATATATTTTAGTTCAATATCAGAAGAATTTGATTTTGTTTTAGAAATTAGTTCACAAAAAAATTCATCATCAGGTAATTCTTCACTAAAACAAATACTTAATCCTCATTCTTCGAGGGTTTTGATAACTTTTTTAGCACTTCTCTTTTTTTTAGGACAGTGGATTGCTATGTAACCTTCTTATTCGCATATAAAATATTTATAATTTGTTTTCTTATTAGAAGTTTTTCTTCTAATAACTAATTTATTTCTTTTAGAGACCTTATTTTTATGTTTCCATTTTTTCATAATATACCTTTTTTGTCTTTTATTTTTTTTATAAAAATGATTAGTTTATTGTTTACAGCCAAATTCAAATTCATTTTTTAAAATCTCAGTGCACTGCTTGTTACTAAGTTTGCTTTTACCCTGTTTAGTAGCTTTTTACTTAAGATAATATTGAATAATCTATTTTTGAATATAATTAACTCTATTTCTTAGAGTATCATAATAAGATAAATTATTAGTACTTGTATTAGAACTAGCAGATGTTTTAATATGTAATTCTAAATAAGTAGAATAATTTTGTAAATATAATTCATCCCATGGTAAGGGAAGTTTATGAAAATATTACTTTTTTCAAAATGCTAAATATGAAAATATTACTCTTTTCAAAATGCTGAATGTTCTTCCTTCAGTTTTTTATATTCACTCATATACTTTTTTGAGTAGTCATCAAGGTTTTTGATTTTACAAAGTTTTAGTTTTGATAGAATATATTAAGCTTTACTGTTAGGATCAACTTTATCTATTCTACCATAAAACTCATTTTTCAAGATCTAGGTTAGATATTTGAGTAAATCAGGGATTGTCGTAATTTGATTTAGTAAATTCCCTTTTTGGGTTTTACTAATTTTAGAGTTTTCTCATTTTCTTAAAAATTGTAAAACATTACCTTGCCAGGTGTCACAAAAATAATTTAAAAAGTTTTCTTTGGTCCAATTATCTTTGTAGTTAATTACTATAATAGACATTGACTGTGCCTGATCTTCTATGATTTTTTCATAGTCAGATATAGAGACTTTGGTTAAGTCTAAATAAATACCACCTGCTGTAACATTTCTCTTGTTTAAAGAATCTACGGTGATTGAATTAGAACTTTAGGATGTTTGCCCTGGTTTTGTTTATTTAATTTCATCCTTAATAGTATGTTGTTCAACTATTTCAGGATTTAACATATCTAGAAAACATAAAATATCATTAGTTTTTAAGTTAAAAACTTCTCTTATTTTTTTTTCCTCTGTCAATTATTTGTTGACTAGGAATTGGGTTTTCTTCTTCTATTGTTTCAGAAGTTTCAATTTTAGTTTATGTATCTGTGTTAGATACAATAACTTCATCTTTGACTATTGGGTTAGTAACTAAGATATTAACTTGGTCATCATCACTGCTTTCATCTATTATGTCATAATTCAACATATAATGATAACCAAATTTTTTGAAAAGATCTTCATGTGTTTCATAAAGTCAATCATATTTAAATACTCAACTCTTTAGTTTGAGTCATTTGTTTTTTCCATTTTGGATTTTAAATATTCAATCATATTTTTGTAACATTGAAAGTCCATTTTTTCTTGTTTAGAAAAAATAAGAATTATAAAAGAAAATGATGGTTTATTATCTTTTAAGGTCATTATGGAGTTTCCATAATAAAGAGGTCCTAAATCACTGGTTTGTGATTTTTGTTCTATTTTTTTATTAATATTATCAATTTTATATTTTATATTTTCAATTTTTACAAACAACCTTTTAAAAAATGAAGTAGATAACTCTACTAGTCCATTTATACTATGGCTTATAGCTTGTGGTTAAGATTTTATAGAAGGTTCTATATGCAATCTATAATTGTAAGATTTTTTTGGGCTTATACATTCATCAATTGACTCCATGTTTTAGGTATCTAAAATCGTCTGTTTTTCATCAATAGTTCGAAAAAGTTAATTCAATAGCTTAACCAAGCACAAATACTAGCAAATAGAAACCAGAAAAATAGATATATGGGTTTTAAAACATAAAATAACAATCATAATGTAAAAGTTTAGAAAAACTTAAAAGATAGATGTGGATTGAACTTTCTTTATAAATTTCTAAAAACAAACACACTATATTTAGTTGCAAGGCTCTGATACCATTTACTAAAAGCAAAAAAAAAGGAAAATTAAAAAGATAGAAAAGCTCCAGGAAATAAGGAAAGAAAGGTAGATAGAGGAGAAAGGGAGAGAAGAAGAAGAGGATGCGAGGCCTTCAGCTCTGCCTATTACAAGATAGAAAGGTCTATTTATAATTGAATTAACCTTGGATAGGTTAAAATACAACTGTAGTTAAAGTATAAATTCGATTGAGTTATGATTATTGTTTACTGTAGCTATAGTTACTTCTACAGTGTCTTATCTACTGTCTAATTGATAGCTATTAGCATCTGTAGTAATTGGCTTGCTTTTGCTTTTAGAGCTGTTTGCTCATTGTCGATGGATGGCTGAACTAGCTTATCTTTATCCTTATTGGATATTATTCAGATTGGCTAGCTCTTCATCGTCTGGATTGAAAGACTGAAGGGAGTTTGATCTAGATCTATTCCATAAATTTCATCCTTCTTGGTATTGGAACAAAAGATGTTGAGGATGATTAATATCTTCTATTTCTGACAATTTTTTAATTAAATCCAATGCTTGTGGATCAAATGAAGGAAAATTAGCTCCTGGATAAGAATATGTCCTTTGAATAAAGATTCACCTTCCATTTGTCTATGTTGAAATCTTTGGATAACTTGGATTTTAAGTTTCATTTAACAAGGATTTTGCATAATTCATCACTGTACTCTTAATTGAAATTGATATTTACTGGGATTAGAGAATTTTTGCAATGTTTGATTTAATAACTCTTGGTTATCA